GGGGGGGGCGTCCCACGGCAAGTCCGTCGCACGGAGCGGGAGTCCCCGGGGTCCAGCGGTGCCGGCGCAGCGCGTAGCGCCGCCGCCCCGGGTCTCACCTCCGCCCCCTCCTCTAGCCCCCAGACCAGCAGGGCCTTGCCGCTCTCCGTAGGGACCCGGAACGCCAGCACCTCGGGGCTGGCCGCCAGCGCCATGCGGGGCGTCAGCAACAGCGGCGCGCCGCGGCCCGGCCCGGCCCGGCCCGGCTCCAGCCAACCACGGCCCGGCTCTGCCTCCAGCCAACCACCGCCCGGCCCGGCCCGGCTCCGCCTCCAGCCAACCACCGCCCGGCCCCGCCCCGCCCCGCCTCGCTTCCAGCCAACCACCGCCCGGCCCGGCTCCGCCTCCAGCCAACCACCACCCGGCCCGGCCCCGCTTCGCCTGACCCGGCCTAAGCCCCGCCTCCTGCTCCGCCTGGCCCCGCCTCTTCCTGCCTTGGCTGCCTCGCGCCGCCCCTTGACCCCAGGCCCTGCCAGCTGCCAGCCCCTTCCTTGCCCCCGGCCGGGCCAGCGCGCCGCTCTGAGGTCCGGGGCGAGCAGGGCCCTGCGAGCCGGCGCTGTCAGTGGCGGAAAGCGGTGGAGGCGAGGCGCCTCCCAGCTGCCTGGGCTGCCCTGGCCTCTGCCCTGCCCTGCCGCCCTCCACACGCCCAGGCTCTGCCGGCTACAGCCGCGTGGGCCTCACGGCCTCGCCCCCCTTGGCGGCGAACACCGCCGAGCTGCCAGGTCCCTCCAGCCAATGGACACACGAGCACCACGTGGGAGCGGGGTTCTGGCTGCTGTCCCGCGGGCCATGGGTCCTCACACGGCTCCTCTGCACGAAGCCAGGGGAAGCAAGCGCCCCGACCAATGAGATGCTGCGGCACAATGCTGGGCTTCTAGCTCGTTTATTCTCTGTAGGCGAAAAGGATTTTCTTTACAAAGATGGAGGAGCATCATTACGCAGCCCCTCCAAGACACCACAGCTAGCGGGAGAATAGGTTTACTCACAGGCACATCAGCCTCTGAGGTTCTCTTAACAAAGGGGGTCACACAGGCAGGAGCACGCTAACCTCGTTGTGTACTGGGATAAAAGAACAGTGTTTCTGCCATCAAATGGTGCAGTTGCTCTCTCCGAAGCGCCTGCACTTCATCAGTTTCAGGTAGGTCTCCACCTTGTGCAGGTCTTTCTTGAAGCAGGACAACAGGCCGTAGTTTTTTAACAAGGCGTCTTCGTTCCGGAGATTGATGTCAAATTTGTCATAAGTGGGTCTGAGGACTTGAAATCCCCGGAGGCTTCCATCTTCCAGCTCCTGTGGGGACATGGCAGCTTAGATGGGAGGGAACGGCTCTTGGGCTGGCATATCAGAGCCCAAAGGCCTGGGACCATGGAAACAAATGCCAAGGTGCCAGCACAGCTCAGTGCCTCCCAGTCTCAGCACTCCTGAAGAAGGTGCTGTCACAGGCACAGAAAGCCGGAGACAGCATTTAGGCAGGTGGTGTGGTGTGGGCTTAGCACACTTGCATCGGTGCTTTTGAATTAGCATTGGCCTGCGAGAGGGAGTGTGCTGGGGAGAGGAGCTGCTGTCAAACCCAGCACACCCCCTCAGGCAGCTGGGAGGGAGGTGGGGTGGAAAGGAGGGGCAGAAGGGAGTAGGTGATGTGGATCGCCCTCTATGAATTTTACCAAAGGGTGCGCAGGATGCAAGCTCCTCTTTGGGATTCCTGTAGACCTTGGGATGGTCCCTTACCTACTGCTTCCCTCCCCCGTTCCATTTTCTTCTTGTAGACTACAAGCACATACAGTATGTTTAAAATCCATGGTTCTCAATCCAGCCCCCCATGTTACAACAGAAGATAGTTTCCCATCTAGCCATAAAGGAGGTGAGAACCGTGTTGCTGTTCAGAGCTCATGTTCCACTTGTGCACATTCTTTCGCATACACATTTTCACAAGTAGAGCAATTATACATGTACGGTTGTGGACGTATTAAACTATAGTCTTCAGGAAGAAAGCTAGACAGGGCCCCGGACAAGACACAATGGTGAGTGGATGGATGTATGAAACAGGCTGGAGACTACCTAGGTGTCTCAGTAACACAGCTGGCCAAAGCGCTCACTTTGGTGAGCTGGTAAAATAAACCTCTTTTCTCTTTAACACTTTGCAGTCCCAGTGGAGAAATCTTTAGCTGATGTTACCAGGCTCCTGCTGCTTCTGACTGAAAAGCTTTGTGCACCAGCTGGAGCTTTTTTAGCTTTTTTGGCCAGGTAAGCACTGCTTGAAATGGAAACCTGATTATTTGACTGGCTTCTCAGCATCACTCTGCCCAGGAATTGAGTAGAGGTGTACGTGGAGTGCTGTTGATGTGTGAGAAGGAAAGAACCCAGCTTGACTCTCAGGGCCAGACTTTTTTAGTTGCCTAAAGATGCAGCTGGAAATGTAGGTGTCTAACTCTCATAGGACTCCCAAGACACTTCTGAAAATCCCACTCAGCTGCTGTCTGCATCTTTAGGCACCTAAATATTCTTACAGATCTGGGTTTCAGAGCCCAGGCTGAGTTTGCGGTGCTGGCAGTGTGGGAAAAATCCCCCACCTTTTACTTATAAACTGAGCACACTCGAAATCCCTGAGAGACCATAAACACCTGCACATTTTAAAAAGGCACTTTTCAGAGTAGAACCACTATAAAGCAGCTGAGCTGAGAAGCATTGATTCTCCAGGGAAGGGGTGGGACAGATGATCCCTCTTTTTATAAAACTACATACTCCCAGTGATGGAACACAAATATTTCAGGACAGAAGCCTGCACTCCTTACAGCTTTTTGATATTGTTGTAACGATCAGCTTCAGCAGAGTGTAACACACGTGTAAGGGCATGGAGAATCGGGTCCCCCAGTGTGAAGTTTAGACTGTGTTCTCCATGGATTGTATTATAGAAAGACTTTCTTGTATCAGTGCATCTCACATGTGGCCACTTGAGCATGGAAATGACAAAGAAACAAGCAGGTGCAAGCTCATGCCAATGATTATTTAGGTTATACATAGTTAGGAATATCAGCAGAATACTGAAAAAACTAGGCGCCTACCATTGCTGCGGTGGAGTTAAGATTGCTTGGGGACACATAAATTTGCTTCTTTTTTTTTTTTTTTCTCTGCAACTGATAATTTTCTCAACTTCTGTTTGTTTTTGCAAAATATTACAGGGCATATTTACATTAACACTGACAAAGTATTTTGTCAAGGGATATAGCAATCTTTCTTATAGTGCCACTTACAAGACAGATATATCCTATTAAAATATTGTTTAATGATAGGCTTGGAAAGGACTTTCTAGTCTGTTCTATACTATTCTATTCTTTATTGGTTTTTATACCGCACTCATCACCATAGTATCTGAAAGCCTTCCAGTACTGCAGTAAGCAATGTGACTCGCATCTGTCATGTGTTTGTTCATTCATCCTCTCCCAGGGGGAGAAGTGTGTGCAGGGGAGCATTTTGTTTTGATTTTTTTCACTTCTGTATCTGTACACAGTGTACACTCCCCCCTCCCCCTCCCTCATACCCCTACCCCAATGGTCAACTAGTTAACGTGTTGCCAATTTAGTCGTTTTCCAACCCCCCTGTAAATTCAAACACCACCTCTATAATTTTATTTCTTGGGGAAAACACTGGTCTACACGTATGTGTTGCCATATGGCTATGTTCGAGAAGGAAGGTCAAAGAAATGCAGCTTGCATTTGGAGCAGGAAGTGGGGAAGTTTGGGATGGTCCCTAGTCCCTGGGCGAGTCTTGAGCCAGCCCCCAAGAAAGCTCTGTCTGCTGGAGTCCGGGAGAGCCATATGATTCTGTAATCATGTCACATGCTGCTGCTTACCCTCATCAGAGCCTGGATACCTTCTTCTAAGTCCCTCAGTTTTTCGTAGACTCTGTCTGAGGTGCCAAACACAAGGCTGTTGGTGAACACCCTGCTTAGGAACTGCACTGGGTTTAACCAGGACTGAATGAGAATCAGTGAAAACCGAAGCAGCTCCATGTCCTGAAATGAAAATAAATTGGGGTCAGAGCTCTGCAGGAAAGGTGTCTTCTAAGCAACAGGCATGTGCTTTCCACTCTGAAACAGAATGTGACTGAAATGAACTCTGGAGCACTGATTTGCTTAAACTGAGATAAAGCCATACGTGGTCTGGGGAGTATCACCCAGAAATTCTCTTCTGTGTGGACAATATACTGCCCAAGCCTTCCCGATGTGTGATTTGTTACAGTTTATACCATAGCTGAAAACAAAGCCTGTCCTCTCCCTATGCAGTACCCTTCAAGGTCACGCATGGTGAAAAGGGTGATGCAAAGAGCAGTGTCTCTCATAAAGCACCCTTCATCCCAGAGCATTTTACACACCTTACATATGCCAGAATTGCTTTACCCCCAAAGGAGGTGGAATGTGGCATCTATCTAAGAGCTACACTACATGACAGCTTGGGATAGGAAGTGAGGAATCCTGATGATTCTACAAGGGGAGTTTAAAGAGACAGACTGGAATTCTCCAAAGTAGAATTTGGCCAGGACACCTGGAACAACTCCAGCTCAGAAAAATGCCACAGGATGGTTAATGAGCACAAGTGGCTAAGTGCCTTTTGCTTTTATCTCCCGTTGGGAAGTTAGCAACCTCCCCAGAGTACCATGCTGGGGCACTTCATGCAGTAGCCTGAACTTGATCCTCAGAGGTCTCCTCTTCAGGTACTGTCCAGGCCCAGCCCAGTTTAGCTTAGCTATAGTTTTACTGTGCAGGCACTAAGGAGCTACCTCAGACAATGCAGAGTCCTGTTGGAAAGCCTCTTTTCAGAAGCGGCTCTGCTGCCAGAATGTATTTGCCAGTTGAAGACAACTTACTGATTTCTGCTGGGCATCATCTTTTCCTGTGGGAGCAGGAATGGTTTCTGAATAACAAAATGCTGATTGGGAAATTTTGTTGGAATGCCTCTGCTCCTCTGGAATATAGGTCCGTTCCTGTGAAAACATCCCAAACACACTGAGAACTGCTCTTTCTCGTGCCCTGGGAAGGGGCCTGGGACCCTTCTCCCCAGGCTGAACCGAAGAGTTACTGTTAACAAGATAGGAAAATGAAACAAAAAGTGACAGCCGCTGTGAAGGGCTGGCAGGTGGGAAATGGCATGCAATTCCATTGATGAGCCAGCATGTTGGCCAACTAGTTACTAAGGCTAAAGATCACCCTCTGACTAGGTCTGTGCTATGAAATAACACATGCAATATTCAGTTTAGCTTCTCAAAGGAAGGACATGACAAAGGAAGGACAAAGGAGCACCCACGGGGAAAAATTGGTGGGTGCTTAGCACCCACCAGCAGCTCCCCGGCCCGCCCCAGCTCGCCTCCGCTCTGCTTCTGCCTCCTCCCCTGGGCGTACCGCCGCATCCTGCTTCTCCCCCCTCCCTTCCAGCGCTTGCACTGCGAAACAGCTGATTCGTGTGGCAAGCCTGGGAGGGAGAGGGGAGGAGGGGGAACGCGGTGCACTTGGGGAAGAGGCAGGGCCGGGGCAGGGATTTGGGGAAGGGGTCGAATAGGGGCAGGGAG